GGGTTTATAAGCCCATTAAGGGTTACCATACAGTAAAAGAGAAACTACGGTACACTGGGAACATACACACACTGACATGCACATTTCCAGATGCACACATCAATACACAGCAAAACAAAACCTGCACACAGCTAAACCTATTTAAGTCTCCAAGATTAATATGCTTTTCTTCATATCTGCATATTTTAAAAAATTATCATGCACAGCGTGTTTGAAAGTTAACAGTAACATTTCAAACTACCACAGGGTTGTGATATGCAAATTTAAAATATTTTAAACATGTACCTTTACAGAAAAAATCCTATTACATAAGCAATATTCGCATAGAATTATACAAGTAAATCATACAATATTTAAGCAGCAGCAACTTATGCTGAAATTTAGAACTATATTAAGTTTACTTGTGGCAAAGAGATCAATATACAATAAGTACAGAGCAAAACCAATATTGTCCCCACTCTATTAACTGGAGGCAAATGACTCCAGATTATACTACTTTACGATGTTCTTTTGTATATTACATATGTGTACATCTTTAAATATTTATAGAAATATTTAACAAAATAATACAATAAGTTACAGTAACAGTGAATTGTTGTCCTGATGCAGCATGTCCTTTTCCACAACTTTGAGCAGTTCTTCTCTTCAAGCAGTTCTGGAAATACAATTCTTTGAGCAGCTTCTCTTCAAGCAGTTCTGGAAATACAATTTTCCATCTTTGGCCTCTTCTTTGCTTCAGTTATTACCCTTTACAAATACAGAGGAAAAAAATACAAATATTCATTAAAGCTCAAGGAAAAAAAAAACAAATCAAGCTAAGCTCATTTCATGATTCTTGTGGTTACAGTTAGCAGTCAGGCAACGTGGACTCTTTTTCCATTAGTCATAGACTTCTTCGTAAAGAAATCCTGATGCCAATTAAAAAAATGTGGATGCCTTGATTTCCGAATGCCACAAATTCAGTCAAAACCAATGGACACTTCAAAGAGAAAAAAGCTGTATCTGATACTGGACACAGTTAACATTCTCATATTAGCCTGCTGTTCATCTTGGAAAATCTGAGCCCGAACATTTCCTTATTCTGAGGATGCTATTACTTACCATAGACTTTGAGTATAAATGCATTCAGGTTTATTTGCACTTTGAGATGTTTGGAGAGAAGTTTTATAAATCAGAAGGTGATTTTATCAGGAATCATCAAAAAAATTCCATCAAAATTCTGCATATATATGTGTGTGTATGTGCATGTGTGTGTGTAAAATATTTCCGCAACCAAAATAAAATGGCTTGCTTTGGTCAAACTAGTGTCTGCCACTGAAAAGCTGTGAAAAGCAGAGCAAGAAAATAGGGACCAAGAGCTAAGTAAGGATTTAACACTTCTGTTTTTTTCCCCCAAATGAGGAAAAAAAAAGGAGTTAGAATAATTAAATTGGTTTTCAACCACAAGCCCCAAAAAGCTTTAACCTCAATTTATTCCTCCCCTTCAAAGCATTCCCCATAAAATTAATGGATTTTTTTCAAGAAAACAAACAGCTTTAGTCTTCCCCAAACATCTAAAATATCCCATCTGTTCTGAACAGCACTACATCCTGTAACTTTCTGTTGCTAGCCTAAGGAGAGATAATGATTAAAGTTTCAAATCGCACAAATTCTTGGATGAACCAGCAGAATATTATTTCACAGGAACATATTAAATGCCCTGTTAAGTCAGCTTTGACCTATATGAATCTGTGATAGCCACTGCAACTGCCCCTGGCAAAACAGAGTGCTTGGCCCAGGGACTCCTCCAATCTGGGAGCTTGCTGGGCAGATCTCCAAATACAGCGTCGCATCCCCAAAGTGCAGGGGACACCCCACAACGCAACACCGCACTAGGCAAAGTGGAGCTTTCCCATCTCTCTCACTCAGCCCGTCCCCCAGAGGGATTCAGTCCTCACTATGGACTTCAAATTCTTTTGATGAGTTTTATTCGAAAAAGGACAATTCTTGAAGTAACTGGCAATTTTACACTTTCACTGTCATTGCTGTGTGATGTTTTAGAAGATAGCCTGATTCAGTGATCAGAGCACAGGGAAACAACTGAAAGTTCGCTTTGCTAAGGTTTAGGGTGTTGACTATACTTTTCGCCTGGCCTATATCCCTCGAGATCATGAATTCCACCAGGGCATGATCACTGCAGCCCGGGCTACCTACCAATCTTGACCTCTCCAATAAGTTCCTCTGCGTTGGTGAGCAACAGGCCCAGTAATGCATCTCCTCTGGTTGGACTTTCTATCACCTGGATTAGGAAGTTATCCTCAATGCACTCCAAGAGTCTCCTAGACTGCTTGCAGCTTGCTGTGCCACTTTTCCAGCGGATGTCAGGGTGGTTGAAGTCCCCCAGCAGGATCAGAGCCTGTGAGCATGATGCTTCCTGTAGTTGAAGCAAGAACGCTTCATCAACATCCTCCCCTTGATCAGGTGGCCTGTAGCAAACACCAGCCACGAGATTTCCTTGCTATCGATTGCAGCGCTCCAATCATGTGATTCATCCCACCAAGTTTCAGTGATAGCGATCAGATCGTAGCTTTCCAACTGCACAGTGGCTTCCCGCTCCTCCTGTTTCTTACCCATGCTGCGTGCATGGTATAGCGACACTTCAGTTGGACTGTCGACCGTCTCACCTTTTTGGAGGAACCTTTTTGGAGGGTTGGGAGGGCATTCCTCAGTACTCTGGTAGGTGCGCTCATCCACCCTGTTGCTTGTGAGTACACAAGTGTCACGGCTTTGGACCCCACCCCCCAAGTTCCTTAGTTTAAAGTGCGATTCACTAAGTCAGACAATCTGCCAGCAAAGATTCTCCTTCCTCGTCTAGATAGGTAGATCCCATCTCTCCCCAATAGGCTGTATTCATCGAAGAACGTCCCGTGATCATAGAAGCCAAAGCCCTGGCAACGACACCGGCCACGAAGCCAGGTGTTAATCTGCATGATGCGTCGACTTCTGCCCACACCCCTATCCCTGACTCGCAAGATAGAGAAGAAGATCACTTGGGCCCCTGTCCCCTTCACTTGTGCCCCCAGGGCTCTGAAGTCCTGCTTGATCTTTCCCAGGTTATGCTTTACCGTGTCATTGGTGCCCACATGGAAAAGAAGTAGGGGATAGTAGTCTGCGCTTTTAACCAGTTGTGGCAGTCTCTCTGTGACATCCTGGATCTTGGCTCCTGGCAAGCAGCAAACTTCCCTTGACTGTATATCAGGCCGGCAGATGGGTGTGCCTCGGTGCCTCTCAGCAGAGTAGCCTACTACTAGCACTTGCCGCTTCCTTTTGCAGTTTTTAGTGTGTGCAACTGGTGAGGTTTCTCCCTGTGAGTCTTGTTCATTGGCTTCACCCACTGCCAAGAGTTTGTATCTGTTGCTGGTTGGTACATACAAGGAAATGGGGGGGGGGGGGGGGGGGGGGGGGGGTGTCTGCG